AATTGGGGAGGATGGCAGGACCGTTCCCGGCTCCTCCATTGGAGGGTCTGCGGGTTTCCCCACTCGGGGTGGTTCCAAGAAGGAACCGGGCAAATTCAGGCTCATTCACCACCTCTCCTACCCGGAAGGAGAGTCGGTGAATGATGATATTGACAAGGACTTGTGCTCGGTCTCCTACGCATCATTCGACAGGGCGGTCGAGCTGGTAAGGAGGGCCGGGCGCGGGGCACTGTTGGCTAAGGTGAATATTGAAGCAGCGTTTCGACTGCTTCCGGTCCACCCAGCGTGTCATCACTTGCTGGGGTGTTTCTTCGACGGGGAGTACTTTGTGGATTTGTGCCTTCCAATGGGTTGTGCTATCTCCTGCGCCTACTTTGAGAAGTTTAGTACATTTCTTGAATGGGTGGTCAAGGTTGAGGCGGGGAGTAGGGCTGTGGTACACTACCTGGACGATTTTCTCTGCGTAGGACCGGCGGGCTCCCCCGCCTGCCTACACTTGCTGAGAACGGTCGAGTGGGTGGCTGGCCATTTCGGGGTCCCGCTGGCGGCGGACAAGACAGAAGGGCCGGCTCCGTGCCTTAGTTTTCTGGGGCTGGAGATAGATACGTTGCAAGGGAAGTGTCGGCTGCCACTGGAGAAGTTGCGGCGGCTGAGGGAGGAGGTGACAACGGCGGCTCAAGCCCGTAAGGTTACATTGCGGCAGATGCAGTCGTTGATCTGGATGCTGAATTTTGCATGCCGGGTGATCCCAATGGGTAGGGTGTTCAGCCGGAGCCTGTCGGCAGCGACGGCGGGGGTGCGATCCCCACGTCACTTCATTCGGGTGTCGTCGGCCATGAGGGCCGACTTGGCCGTATGGGAGACCTTTTTGCGGGAGTTCAATGGGACGGTGATTTTTAGACAGGAGGGCGTGTCGGCTGCGGAACTGGAGCTGTTCACTGACGCGTCTGGTAGCGTGGGCTTCGGGGCTTATTTTGGGGGACGGTGGTGTGCGGAGCGATGGCCGGGGGAGTGGCGACTGAGCCCCCTCATGCGGAACTTGGCTTTCTTGGAGCTGTTCCCGCTGGTCGTTGCGTTGGCCCTGTGGTGGGATAGGCTGCGGGACCGGAAGGTGGTCTTTTTCTCGCTGTGAATAACCAATCAGCGGCATCGAAACCCGTGGTTAGGTTGCTACGTCATTTTGTTCTGTTGTGCATGTCGCTAAATGTTGTTTTTCGTGCACGCCATGTGCCTGGGTTCCTGAATGATATAGCTGACGCCCTGTCTCGTTTTCAGTGGTCACGATTCCGGACGGTGGCGCCGGAAGCCCAAGAAGTGGGGCAGGCTTGCCCAGACGAGATTTGGCGGCTCGGGGCGACCTGCTTGGTGGACTGGTGAAAGCTTCGCTGGCGCCGGCCACATGGGCCGCTTACAGTAAGGTCTGGGACTCCTGGGAAAGGTCATGGGAAGGGTTGGACCGCCTGCCGGCGGGGGAATCGCTCAAGGATGCGTTCCTCTGGTACACCTGTCAATTTCTGGCGAAAGGGGTATCCCCGGCGGTGGTTGACAGGTCCATGGCGGCGATGGCTTTCTGGTTCAAGCTACATGGGGTAGAGGACCTTACTAAGGCCTTTGTCATAAGGCATGCACTGAAGGGGTACCGGCGGGGCCGCATGCGGCCTGACACGCGGCGCCCAATATCGGTGCGAGTGTTGAGTGACCTGGTCGGTTTATTGCCTACTATATGTTTCGACAGGTTCGAAGCATCGTTGTTTCAGGCGGCGTTTCTGTTGGCCTTCTTTGGAGCCTTTCGGGTAGGGGAGTTGGTCAGTGCCACGAGGACTGCGGCAGGGGGGGTACAGGTGTCGGGGGTCCGAGTGCTGGAAGGGAAGGTGGTTGTACACCTGGCAAAATCCAAGACGGACATGTTAGGCAAGGGCCGAGATGTGACGCTGCGGGCCCTGCCGGGCTCCGCTTTGTGCCCAGTGGCCGCAGTGGTGGGGTACATGGCACGGAGGCCGGGGGTTGAAGGATCGCTGCTGGTACACGCGGACGGGTCTTCCCTCTCCCGGTTCCAGTTCACCAAGGTTTTTCGGTCTGGACTGGGAAAGCTAGGACTGAGGGTGGATACTTTTGGTACACACTCCTTTCGTATTGGGGCGGCTACGGAGGCAGCTCGGTTGGGTCTGGGGGATGACATAGTGAAACGGATTGGGAGATGGGAGTCGGTACGGTTCCGTTCATATGTGCGCTTGGGTTTATTGGAGTAGTATGGTGAAGGGCCTTTGGGGGTATGATCTGATCTGTTATGATCTGTTTTCCTTCTCTCCCCCAGGCCGTGTCGCATGGATCGTGGGCCATTCATTTGTCTTCTGGGCCGAAAGGAGGGCTGCAGCTCGAGCTCAGGGCCACCAGCTGGGCTTTCATCGGGACCAGTTGGCAGTACAATGGTTCGGGTACAGGGGTTTTTGTTGGGGGGAGGTCTGCGGAAGGGTGTTCCGGATGGTAGCAGGCGGGCAACGGCCGGACCTGCTGGTGCTCCATGCAGGGGGCAACGACTTGGGCCTCACTCCGCAGCGGCGGCTGGTGAAGTGGATGAAGCAGGACCTTAACAGTTTAAGGGACCTACTTCCGGGGTTGATGTTGGTCTGGTCGGAGATTATCCCTAGGAAGCGGTGGCGGCATGCTAGGGACCCGGAGGCTATTGACAGATGTAGGAAGAAAGTGAATAGCTTGATGGCAAGCTTCGTGCGGAAGCTAGGGGGTGTGGTAGTTCGACACAGCGAGTTGGAAGGTGGTTTGCCGGGGTACTACCGCTCGGATGGAGTCCATCTCTCGGCAGTTGGTTGGAATCTGTTGACCCTGGGCTGGCAGGATGGCATAACTAAGGCTCTTTTTCTTCGGGGTGGCGGAGCTCAGACAGCTTAAGGAGTCAAGGTCTGAGCTTGTGGCGGGATAGGGAGCTGAAGGAGAAGAAATAGGCTCCCTAGGATGAACGTCATGGAGACGTAAAACTGTGGTCATTGGTGGTTGGTAGGTTCCGAGTCCTGTTGGTGGCTCAGAATCTGGTGGGGCAGGGGTATCCGGGTATACCCCTGCCATGGTTAATTTATGTTTGGCACTTTAAGTTGTTATGTTGGAATATGTTGATACGTATGTTATATGTATATGTATATATGTTATTTATATGGGGGTCATTGCCTGTTATATTAACAGAAGGATTCGGTTATGAGGGCGGAGTATGGGGGCAATGACCCATGTTTATTGTTAAAATTATTATTATTGCTTAATAAATTATTATTATTCAAGATTGTTTAAATAAAGCTGTGGACAAATTTTCCCATATACCTTTGTGTCAGTGAGTTATTGGGTTGGGTATGTGGGAGGGTTGTCCTGGAGTCCGACTGCCCATATGGCGACTATACACCGGTCATGTAGCCCCATGTAGCCAAAGCGCAGCTAAGCGAAAAAAGGCCTTGACAGGGGTTAGGAGGCGGGCATAGGAGGAGGGAAGGAAGTATGGGGTTATGGGTAAGTAGGCTTGGCTATTTAAATAGGCAGCCATTTTAAAGCCTTCACTTTTAATTACTACCTTGCTGAGTTTGTCCCGCCCACCCTCCCTGAATTTGGTTCGGACTTGTGTTATCCCGTTTTTTCACAGCGGCGGGATAGGGAGCTGAAGGAGAAGAAATAGACTCCCTAGGATGAACGTCATGGAGACGTAAAACTGTGGTCATTGGTGGTTGGTAGGTTCCGAGTCCTGTCGGTGGCTCAGAATCTGGTGGGGCAGGGGTATCCGGGTATACCCCTGCCATGGTTAATTTATGTTTGGCACTTTACTTTGGTATGTTGGAATATGTTGATACGTATGTTATATGTTATATGTATATGTATATATGTTATTTATATGGGGGTCATTGCCTGTTATATTAACAGAAGGATTCGGTTACGAGGGCGGAGTATGGGGGCAATGACCCATGTTTATTGTTAAAATTATTATTGCTTAATAAATTATTATTATTCAAGATTGGTTAAATAAAGCTGTGGACAAGTTTTCCCATATACCTTTGTGTCAGTGAGTTATTGGGTTGGGTATGTGGGAGGGTTGTCCTGGAGTCCGACTGCCCATATGGCGACTATACACCGGTCATGTAGCCCCATGTAGCCAAAGCGCAGCTAAGCGGAAAAAGGCCTTGACAGGGGTTAGGAGGCGGGCATAGGAGGAGGGAAGGAAGTATGGGGTTATGGGTAAGTAGGCTTGGCTATTTAAATAGGCAGCCATTTTAAAGCCTTCACTTTTAATTACTACCTTGCTGAGTTTGTCCCGCCCACCCTCCCTGTATTTGGTTCGGACTTGGGTTATCCCGTTTTTTCACAGCGGCGGGATAGGGAGCTGAAGGAGAAGAAATAGGCTCCCTAGGATGAACGTCATGGAGACGTAAAACTGTGGTCATTGGTGGTTGGTAGGTTCCGAGTCCTGTCGGTGGCTCAGAATCTGGTGCGGCAGGGGTATCCGGGTATACCCCTGCCATGGTTAATTTATGTTTGGCACTTTAAGTTGGTATGTTGGAATATGTTGATACGTATGTTATATGTATATGTATATATGTTATTTATATGGGGGTCATTGCCTGTTACATTAACAGAAGGATTCGGTTACGAGGGCGGAGTATGGGGGCAATGACCCATGTTTATTGTTAAAATTATTATTGCTTAATAAATTATTATTATTCAAGATTGTTTAAATAAAGCTGTGGACAAATTTTCCCATATACCTTTGTGTCAGTGAGTTATTGGGTTAGGTATGTGGGAGGGTTGTCCTGGAGTCCGACTGCCCATATGGCGACTATACACCGGTCAGGGGAAACCCAATCTAACATAGCTAAAATACATCTGGATATAGCTGAAATATAGGAGGCTGATAGCGAAAAGCAATCAAAGAATCTAAATAATGGCAAGAGATGTGTATTGTAAATACTAGGACAGTGTCTACAACAGCATACTTCCCAAAATTGTTAGATATGGATATAAGATTGGGAGGGTTGGGCTCACCAACAGGTGACATGTTGGCATTCCTAGAGAAGAAACAGTCCTGCAAAAAAGAGGAGCGTGTCAGGTCGGTATGCTTGAGTGCCAGGCTGTCAAACAGCTGCACTGGCCAGACCCACTTAGGGTAGTCCATGGGGCAGAGCACTGCTGCATACCTCCTAATATTGGAAGATATGGCCAGTAGAGAGTCTGTTGGTGACAGGTCCGGACTGGCCATCGGGCACAGCGGGCAAATGCCCGGTGGGCCGCGGTGGCCGTGGGGCCGAGGCCGGCAGGGGAGGTCCCAGGATCTCCCCTGCCGGTCTATGCAGGGCCGGCACTCTCCTAGCACCGGCCCCGCTGTTTGCCACGACGGGCCGGTGGGGAGATCAAGGATCTCCCTGACCGGCCCACATGCGGCCGCCGGCGGGCAGAGAGGGAGACAGCCAGCCAGGCTGGAGAGAGGACCCGGCGGAGCTCTTACTTGCAGCTCCGCCGGGTTCCTCTCGCGAGATCCGGCACGTTGCCATGGCAACAACCGGATCTCGCGAGAGTGAACTCTAGCCTCACAGGCTAGAGTTCACTCACCCACGAGGACCACCAGGGAACACCGCGTGCCGGACCCCCCCTCCCAGTCCCAGCGTGCCGGTCCCCCCCCTCCCTTCCAGGCTAAAGGTAAGAAGGGAGGGGGGGGGAGGGGGAAGAATAATGACTTTTTTGTTTTGTTTTTTTATTTACCCCCCCCCCTACACACACACACACACACAATAACATTTATACAGCACTCTCACACCCAGCACTCTCACACCCATCACACACAGCACTCTCACACCCATCACACACAGCACTCTCACACCCATCACACACAGCACTCTCTCACACCCATCACACTCACAGCACTCTCACAGAGCACTCTCACACACACACAGCACTCTCACAGAGCACTCTCACACAGCACTCTCACACCATCACACACAGCACTTTCACACACACAGCACTCTCTCACAGCACTCTCTCACAGAGCACTCTCACACAGCACTCTCACACAGCACTCTCTCACACAGCACTCTCACACCCATCACTCACACACGGCACTCTCACACCGCACCCCTCACACACAGCACTCTCACACCGCACCCCTCACACACACACCGCACCCTCACACACACACATACTGCACCCCTCACATACACACAGAACCCCCCCAACACACTGCACCACACACATACACAATACTTCCAAATATATATATATATATATATATTATATATTATATATATATATATATACATACACACACACACACACACACACACACTACACTCTTAAAGGACCACTCTAGCCACCCAGACCACTTCAGCTTAATGAAGTGGTCTTGGTGCCAGGTCCTTCTAGGGTTAACCCATTGTTTTATAAACATAGCAGTTTCAGAGAAACTGCTATGTTTATCAATGGGTTAAGCCTTCCCCCAAAACCTCTAGCAGCTGTCTCATTGACAGCCGCTAGAGGTGCTTGCGTGCTTTTCACTGTGAAAATCACAGTGAGAGCACGCAAGCGTCCATAGGAAAGCATTATAAATGCTTTCTTATGCGACCGGCTGAATGCGCGCGCAGCTCTTGCCGCGCGTGCGCATCGGAGGAGGAGAGCTCCCCACACAGCGCTGGAAAAAGGTAAGTTTTAACCCCTTTCCAGAGCCGGGCGGGAGGGGGTCCCTGAGCCACATATGCATCACATTACACCACAAACACAACACGACTAAAACCGACCTTATTACACAATACCACACCACGACCAGCTCACTCTACACACACGCAATACCACAAGCAGGCTTCAAACACATGCACAATACTCTTTCCTGGCCTTTTGTCTCCTGGTATCCATTTATAAAGACACCAGAGACAAGTTGCAAGGAAACACAGTGCAAGCATGTTATTAATTTTGCTTGCACTGTGCAGAACAAATACAGGACTTTTTTCTCATGCTAGAGCTCTTCAGCAGAGCTCTGCGCATGGTCTACCCTGGAAGAGCATTGAACCAACATGCTCACTTTGAGAGGAGGCGTGTTTGTCATTGGTGATGACAAAACACACCTCCTCTGCCCCGCCCCCTTTTTAGTGGGCCGCTGTGTTAAAAAAATGCCCGGGCCGAATTTTTCTCCCAGTCCGGCCCTGGTTGGTGATACAACAGTGGACAGTCCTTCCTGGAAAAGGGAAGGGGCCAGCCTCATCCAAACAGCCCATGCTCAGAGAGCTGATGAAGCCCTCTCATGTGGGCTAAGTGCCCTTGTACACTTTTCACAGCTCAATCACATGTAAATATATTTTGAGGGACATCAAACAGGAACCAAAATTCAAGACAGTTTCTTCAATCCCTTTTACAATTGGGGAATATGCCACAGCAGTACACGGTCACGGTGGACACGGCACGTTAGCTGTACCGGGACCTGCAGAATCCCATTTATGCCCTATGAAACTTGTAAACAAATTACTAGTACTTAATCAGAGCAAGAATATACACCATGATTCCAGAGTGTGCATGTTCTACTAGAGGAACTAGCCACAGGGATTCCATGAAGGAAGGTGTATTTTACATGTAATCAGTTGAGTCATTTATAATGTTTTAAAGTTGCTTTAATTTTTAATTGTCATTGCATGAATGAAAATCAATGCCACTCTAGCCTGATCTGAGAGAAGGCAGAGGATATAAAGCAGGGTGGCAAGGTGTGAGCGCGATAGTATTAAGCCTGCTGCGCATGATTTCTTGAGTCTGTGTGTCTAAAGGCAAAACTGTTCAGTAGAAATATATTGGCTCAGTGGGCTAATGTACCAGAAAAATAGAGAAGAGGCAGATCCAATCCATGCAAGATGACACAGCACACAAAATAGGAATAATTTAATTCACAATATGAACCCTCATTCTATAATTGCCCACCAATGTAACAGTACTTTAAAAATTAAAGGGACACTATAGTCACTAGAACAACTACAGCTTAATGTAGTTGTTCTGGTGAGTATAATAGCTCCCTTCAGGCATTTTAATGTAAACACTGCCTTTTACATTGTCCATAGGGACACCTCCATGTGCCCACTCCTTAGATGGCCACTGGAGGGGCTTCCTGGCTCAGGGCTGCACTGTAAGCAGCCCTGCCGTTCAGCGCCCCCACGCTCTGCATGGAGACGCTGGATTTTCCTCACAGAGATGCACTGATTCAATGCATCTCTGTGAGGTGGTCCTGATTGGCCAAAACGGCATTTGTCCCCTTCCCGTGCGGATTTTAGCCAATCCAATGCTTTCCCTATCGGAAAGCATTGGATTGGATAAAAATTTACCATTTTGATGATGTCACAAATGGAGCGGAGCCAGTGCCGGAGGACCCCCACGGCGCTGGAAATAAGATGAGTTTTAAACTTTTATAGGGGGACTAAGGGGTGGCCAGCCAGCTAAATTATTATTGCCATTTATATAGCGCCAACAGATTCCGTAGCACTTTACAATATTATGAGAGGGGGGATTTAACTATAAATAGGACAATTACAAGAAAACTTACAGGAGCGATAGGTTGAAGAGGACCCTGCTCAAACAAGCTTACATTCTATAGGAGGTGAGGTATAAGACACGTAAATGGTGGGTTAAACACTATAGGGTCAGGAATACATGTTTGTGTTCCTGACCCTATTGTGATCCTTTAAACATATAGAAATTTGTATCCATATTTGCTAGGAAAATAATCTTCTGCAGCACATGGCCTGAGCTCTGAGGCCTGAATATCTGACAGTTAATGGAATAAAAAAGTAATACAGCAAAAAATATAGTAAAGTGTGATGAGAACTGTAGCCCATGGATCAGCGCAGCTAAGAGGAATAGGCCTTGACAGAGCCAGGAGGTAGGCATAGCAGCCACAGGAATTTAGTGACAGCTAGCATGCTGGGTAGGGCGGAGCCATAAGGGGAGTATTTATACCAGCCATTATGTGAAGTGGCCATTTTAACTGAATCTAAGCTTACCTGTCAGTTGTGAAAGCTGCCTGCCCTGGAGGGAGAAGGCAGCATGGAGGTACTGAGACAGGAGGCAGCATGGAGATACAGGAGAGGCTGGAATGAGCTGCTACTACATGATCACTCCCATCAGCAGCATGGAGGCAGCATAGAAGAACAGGCAGCATGGAGGCAGCATAGAAGAACAGGCAGTACTGAGACAGGAGACAGCATGGAGATACAGGAGAGGCTGGAGTGAGCTGCTACTGCATGCTCACTCCCATCAGCAGTATGGAGAACAGGCAGTACTGAGACAGGAGACAGCATGGAGGTACAGGAGAGGCTGGAATGAGCTGCTACTACATGATCACTCCCATCAGCAGTATGGATTCGGCACCCAGCCAGGAGGCAAGAGGGTCGGACAGCACCGGGAAGCGGCCGGCGCCGCCGGTGCGCCGCGGTGCCGGTCAGGCGAGGACGGCCGCGAAGCGCGGGCCTGCTGGTAAACGCGCCCCACCCAAGATGGCGGCAGGCAGCACAGGAACACCAGAGGAGGGCTCCAGCACGGCGGGAATGGCGGCTGGGAGAGCGGAGGAACACGTGGTCGGCAGCACTTCAGTGAGGCGTCCCGGTGAGTCCACTCTGGTCACTGAGGGGCAGGGGGCGGGCGGGACGCGGGATGTTCCAGCGCAGGCGGCCCCCCAGCAACCCAGGGGTGGCCTGGTCAGCGGGACCAGCTCGCGGGCGGCCTTAGGTGTGGCCGGCACGGGCGACAGTGCCAGGCATAGGGAGGAGGGGCGGCAGGAAGACGGCAGGATCGGACAGGGAACGGCAGAGGTTCCAGCGGGCTGCCAGGGGGTGCAAGGGGCATCTGAGCCAGGCGCAGCGGCCAACAGATGGCCAGGTACAGCGGAGAAAGGGGACACACGCAGTACAGCGCGGGATAGGGAAGTCAGGAGCAGTAGCAGTGGAAGGTTGGGCCCCTCAGGCTGCTCTCACGGGGGGCACCGCAGCGGACCAGGGAGCGGGAGGAGTACAGACGGGAGCGGCGCAGCGGTGGCGCCAGGCCCGGCAGCAGCAGGAGGTCAGCTGATCGGCAGTGGAGCAGGGACAGGAGTCCATCGCATAGCAGGCGCAGTGGTTCCAGGACCAGCTGCAGGGCGGGGAGAAGGAGGTCCGCGTCCAAGGACGGGCGGGGGCGGAGGCGGCGCAGCGCATCTGGGTCATCGGGTGACAGTGCACTAGGACAGCAGCGGGCCCCCAGGAGCAGGGAAGCTAGGCCGGCAAGGCGGTGCGAAGCTTGGAATTGCGGAGAAGAGCGTAGGGAGGAAGGACGGGTAGGGGCCCAGCAGTACAGACTACCCAGGTTGTCTTCTCCTTACAGGTCGCGGAGCGCTACCCCTACGGTCCTGAGGAGGGATCAGGCGGATGGGAGTCGGCGTCAACCGGATGCTCCGGAGCCTGAACGGGTGGACGGAAGGTCGGCAACCCCGGAGCCTGGCACGGCCGGGGTCTCCAACGGTGAGTCCATATCTGCACAACACTCCGGACAGTTATTGGGCTATTTAAAAACTCTATTGGAGGCATGGTCAGGGAAGGGGGAATCACCATTACAGTTCGGAAAGGTATGGTCCCCTGACACGGCGGTTAAGGCAATAGGGGCGGGGGTCCAACCGGCGAGCGGAGGCGAGGTAAGCGAAGCGGTATTGGCGTCCGGTGCGGCGGATGGGGGGGCTGAGTCGGCGGTCGGGTGTGGCGACATTTCGGACGCGGCACGTCAAAACGTACACGTATCTTTTGCGGGCCCCCTAGGTTGTCACCTGAAATTAGAGGTTAAAGAAAAGATTTGGAAGGGGGAGTTCATGGAAAATTTTTCTTTGCTCCCTTTGGAGGAATTCCTAGACTTGAAGGAGGAGGATAAGAAGGACGCCAAGAAGGAGGAAGAAGAAAAAAGGCGGAGGTATCGCAAGATACCGAAGACTTTGGGGAATTGGCTGAGGGCGTTCTGCATCCTGGCTAGTGTGATAGGGAAAAAAAAAAAAAAGGCCAGGGAACTGTGCGCAACTGTTCTGCTACTTGGATGGGATAGGCGATGCGTATCGGACGTATGGGGGCCTAGCGTGGTGGAAATATGATGAGCAGTTTCGGCAACGCTTGGCGGCCAACCCTACCATGCGGTGGGACCAAATGGACCTGCCGCTATGGATGAGGATTATGATGGCGCAGAAGGCTGCGCCCTTTCTCGGGGCAGCTGGGACAGCCTCAGGCGTGGCTGTGCCAGCGGGACAAAAGAAGGGCCTGTGCTGGACGTACAACGAGGGTCACGGCGCCAGCAGATGCTTCAAGAAAGGTAAGCTCAATGCAGGGGGTGGAACCGCAGGGGTGGCGGCCACCTCGGCTGCAACTGGGGGCGTCCCCAGTGAGGTTAGGAGCGATGTTGCCTTGGCTAAGGCAATACGCTAACCAGGAGGATGCAGCGTTCCTGTGGCGGGGTTTTAGGGAGTGCTTCGTGATCCCCTTCACGGTTAAGGAACCAGGGGCGGTTTGTGCCAATCTTAAATCTGTGCGGGAACGCCCGGAGGTAGTGCGGGAAAAGATGGCCAAAGAGGTCCTTTTGGGGAGGATGGCGGGGCCGTTCCCGTATCCTCCTATAGCGGAGTTGCGGATATCCCCACTTGGAGTGGTCCCCACAAAAGAGGCTGGCAAGTTTAGGTTGATTCATCATTTATCGTATCCTAAAGGGTCATCGGTGAATGATGACATCGACGCAGCACTCTGTTCAGTATCTTACACATCATTTGACAGGGCAGTCGAGTTGGTACGGAGAGCTGGGCGGGGAGCGCTGATGGCGAAGGTGGACGTGGAGGCAGCGTTTCGGCTGCTTCCCATACACCCGTCATGTCATCACCCCTTGGGGTGTTGTTTTGAAGGGGGCTTCTTTGTGAATCTGTGCTTGCCGATGGGTTGTTCCATCTCGTGCGCCTATTTCGAGAAGTTTAGCACTTTTCTGGAATGGGTAGTGCGACGGGAATCGGAGGGGGGCACGGTTGTGCATTACCTGGACGACTTCTTATGTGTCGGCCCTCGAGGCTCAGACCGGTGCAAGCAGATACTACGGGTGTTCCAATGGGTAGCGCAGACGATGGGGGTTCCTTTGGCGGAGGACAAGACCGTGGGACCCGCCACGTGTCTTAGTTTTCTGGGTTTGGAGATCGATTCGGAGATCGGGGAATGTAGATTACCACAGGACAAGTTGGGCAAGCTGAAAGACTTGGTGCACACAATTGGGAGAGCACGGAAGGTGACGCTGAGGGGATTACAGTCTTTGGTAGGGAGCCTGAACTTTGCGTGCAGGGTCATACCCATGGGGAGGGTTTTCTGTAGACGATTGGCGCGGGCGACGAGCGGGATACGGATGCCGTCACACTATATCAGGGTTTCCGCGGACATGAGGGCGGACTTAGAGGTGTGGGATCGTTTTTTGAGGGACTTCAATGGCAAGGCCTTTTTCGGGAGCAAGTGGTGTCTTCGGAAGCAGTGGGGCTGTTTACGGACGCTTCGAGACGCCATGCTTGGAGGATCGATACAGAATCCTATGGCACCGGGCAGAGGGACTGCCTATGTGAACGTTTGAGATATGTGGGACAAGGCGGTTGGTTTCACTGTGGGGGCCCAGTCAAAGGAGGGGCGAAGGGATACCTTGCGGTGGTTCCTAAGCCGTTTGTTTGTTCAGCGTTAGCTCCATCAGCAAGGGTCAGGAGCATGGTGGCATTGTCGTTAGGGTTTAAACTGACTGATTGGGAGGAAGTGACGGAACGTTGTCACGTCCGTCAGGCATCGCGGGTCTTACGGAGAGATATGAAATATGTCGGTGGCGGGTTTCCTTGGGTAACGCAACGCCTGGTGGTGTATTACCCTACTTTTGCAGTGAGTTTGCTTGCGGTGGCCTTTTCGGAGGCTTGGGGCAATTTGGATTGGGGAACTGGTGAGTGCCTTCGGGCAGGTGTTGGGGAGTTCTACACTTGGTTGTCGAACCTTAGTCGGTTAAGGTAACGATTCAGTAGGGTTGTTCAAGAACGAATGTGTCTGGTAAAGGAGGTTTGGTAAAGCTATATTCCCTGCCGGGGTCACGGGTACGCCCGGTGTTAAGCGCATCATGCTACTTGGAGCTTTGCCCGGACATCCCGGGTGGCTTACTGGTAAAAGGGGACAGATCGGTGCTGTCACGATTCAATTCCCGCAGGTGTTTGACAATGTTGGGTTTGGATCCCGGGCACTTTGGGACCCATTCTTCCCAGGTGATGGCGGTAACAGAGGCACCCCACCTGGTTTTAAGTGAGGACCTAGGGAAACGTTTAGGCAGGTGGGAGTCAGTACGGTTTAAGTCCTGTTTCAGGCCAGTCTATTTGGTTTAATGGCTATGGACGTATGGGTTTGTGTTTGGGGCTATGCCGTGTCGCTAATTACTTTCGTTTCAGGTTTGGTGACATGGTTGGTGGGTCATTCTTATATCTAAGGGGCACAGATGGGAGCCGCGTTTCAGTTCAAACGTAACTGGGCTTTCCTTTGAAATTGGTGGAGCAGGAGTGGTTTTGCTTTTCAGGGATTTTGGTGGCAAGACATTAGGGGAGAAATTTTTCCGGGAGGTAACAAAGGGTACTTTCCAGGACATTCTGGATATTGGCATGGTCCCGGAAAAGGAATTGATCAGGTGGAGGCAGAGGGAGGTGGACCAGCTATGGGAGCTGGCCACGGGTGTGGTGGTGGTGCGGTCCGAGATGGTTCCTTGGTTACATTGGAGACATACTACGTACCCGGCCGTGGTAGCTCGGTGTCGAGGACGACTTAATAAAAAAAATTGATGGCAGTATTTATCAGAGGTGGGGGCGGTGTAACAGTGAGCCACAACGAATTGGGAAGAAAGCTCCCTGGGTACTCCAGGTGGGATGGGGTACATTTTCGGATGTAAGGTGTGATCTGTTTAAATTGGGCCTTCAGGAAGGCATTCAACAGGCCTTATTCCGGTGTGGTGGGGGTCGCTCAGGAGCTTTAGGTGTCAAGTCCTGAGCTGTGGCGGGGAATGGCCTGGTTAAATCGGAGGGTAGATGGAGGAGAAAGTGGGCATCCTGAGGTTTAGTGTGGATTGGGCAGTGTTGCACGTGGTTGGTAGGTTCGAGCCCGTCGGTGGCTCCGAACCTGGGGGTGTGGTGGTGTCTTGGTACACCCTACACTGGAACTGGTGGGTAGCGGTGTCTTGGTACACCCCTACAATGGATATGGTGGGTAGCGGTGTCTTGGTACACCCCTACAATGGATATGGTGGGTAGCGGTGTCTTGGTACACCCCTACAATGGATATGGTGGGTAGCGGTGTCTCGGTACACCCCTACAATTTAACCTGGTGGAAATGTGGTCAAATTGGACGGCCAGTTTCTGTGTTAACATGTTATTTATATTGTTATCTATTGTTATTATTGTGGGGTCATTGCTAGGGGTATGTTATGTATATGGGGGAGGTTAACATTATTAAGATTTGTTGGCAATGACCCCATTTGTTATTCCTTAATTATTTATTAATAATTTAATAAAGCTGTGGACAAATTATTTCCAACAGTATAACCTGTGTCCGTGTTTTAATGGGGGTTGGGGTAAGGTTAGCGCATATGCCGGCAAATCCGACTGTGCGCCTGTCATGTGTTTAATACAACCATTTCTGGGAGTTCCAAATGCCTTTGTCAAGGTAAATAAAAGAATGTGATTAATTTATAGCTGTTTTCACTTGTTTGAAGCCAACAAATTATGTGACTTGTCAAGGAATGATTAGATTATTCATCAGTTGCCAAGGAGAACGCCACAGATAAACAGCTACAATAATTCACTGTTATTTTTGGCTCAGGTTACTTGTAGGACTGTAGTATGTTCCAGTGAATTCTGTTTATACGCTTTACATATTGTAGTAGATGGGAGGTTAACAGGTTTTTCCAGCCAATTGTAGGGAGAATGTTTTTATTTAAAATGTCCTTTTGGGCACTATTAATTAAGGCAACCTAAATTTTCCACCTCGATCTAACGTTAGCAAGGGCCTTTCGAGGTCCAATCAAAGGCAACTCTACGAAAGCACATGCACGCAATCTGAGTCATGAGGGGAGAGGGCAGTGGGGGGAATTTAATTTAAAAATATAAAATCAATATTGATCTTGTAGGGAGGCGGGGAGGACACAAAACAGTAAAGGAAGGAGGGGAGAAAAATGCTTCCCCTTGGAGGAGAAGTTCAATACATACATTGCCATTGCGCAGTGCGCTCTGAAGACGGACGTATTTTACGCACAAAAATTTATATTTGGCAGAGTTCTGGGCTGCCAAGTCACATGTGCTGAGTTGTAACTAGGCCACGGCACAAAAGTGAGGATTACTCTGATCATGCAGCATTTCAAGCAAAAACATTGCACTTACAGGTTCCCAACACCATGAAAATGTCAAATCACTGAGCTAGTCATGGTGGTTGGACTAGTCCTTTAAAAG